TGTATTATATATTGTATTATATTGTATGTTTTATGTAATAAATGTGTAATAGAATTGTATTCTATTGTAATGTATAAAACAATTGTAAAATGAAACTTGGAAATAGAAAACACACTGATAAAGTGTTTTAAATAAAAAAGCAAAAGCTATATTTCTTGGAATTGCAACTTTTCAGACATTTATATTTGTGTACCGTTAAAACACCTTTGTATAATATACATGGTTTTTTATGTATTTTGTATCTATATATATATATATGTAGTATTTTTAAGAAAATAAAATAAAATTTATAAAACACAGAGCAGCAAATGATGATGTAAAAGGAGATGATATTTGACTACACTCCACGAATTCTGATGTTGCTCGCTAAAGTAAGATTCTTTTCTTGACTATCACATCTTTTCTAGTATATCACATTTATGTTGTACGAAAAGTTGCAATGGTTTTTCTTATTCTTTTCTGTTTTCCTTTCTCATTTTCTCATCACGAGATCGGTCGTTTTAAATTTCAACAAAATCAAATTCACGCTCTCGAATATATTCACACACTTAAAGAAAGTGACCATTTAAACTCGTGCACATAGCACAGAATAGAACCGCATCCTGTGGACATAGCGCACCGACGTGTCGCTCGTGGACTGGCTGCGTAGTTCGAATGTGTACCACTCGTGGTACATGCGCTAGTTTACGGGGCGGAAAAGTGATTACACATTCTCTTATGGACCTGGCCGCTCTCAGACTTCTCTCTGGTTTCACTCGACATTGGTAAAAGAAAGATAAACTCTGAACTGGTGTAGCCAGTTCAGATAAAAAGAACAGACCTATTTGCACCAAACCAAACCTTACGAGTTTAAAATGTTCAACCGCAGACTCTGCTGTGTGACGTGACAGTGACCTCTCATTTAATAAAAAACGTAATTTGTGTAGATGTACGAGGTAATAACAAAAACAACAAATAATACGAACGTGATAAGTCGTGATCCAAGAAATTATGTATGAATTATATAATTATATAATTACATTAAATTATGTTATACGTGTGTGTTACTACGCTTTTATTTACTAATGTTATTTATCTTTTTTATTTAGTTAAATTGTACAATGAGTCAGATAAAAAATGATCACTCTAATTTTTTGCTGTCAAATTGCAAAACTAAAGGTTAGTCCACAAATTATATCACTTATTTTTATGTAGGAATTTTAAATTATCAAAGTACATGCCAAATAACTACTTGCTTTTTTTTTAATTTTAGTACGAGAGATAAGGCAACCTGTAAGACTTGTACAAGGTCTTAGTGGCAAAAAGTCACAAGATGATCAAAGAAGTATACTTTCAAAATTTTTTACATGCATTAAAATTTTGTTTACATATAAATACTAAATATTGTTTATATAACTTGTTACACACACAACATATTATTTGCAGATCCAACCATTAAACTGAGTCAACCTGAAAGACTCACCCCTTATGGAAAAAGAGGGAGTTGCAAAAAAAGTAAGTATCATGTACTTATATACAACAAGTAATCAAATTTGTTGATTTGCTATTATACAGTAGATATTTGTATGTAATTGTTATACATTATTTGCAGATCCAACTGTTACACTAACTAAACCTGAAAGACTTACTCCATATTTGAAAAGTGCACAGAAAAGTTGTAAGAAAGGTAATCTCAGATAGATTTTATTTCTTTATCTATTATATATCTTACCATCCGTGTACACATGTATGCAATTTTTGTTTACACAGACACTTTCCTTCAGCACGATACAACAAATGCAAGAAGAAATTTAAACTTTTATGTAAATAACAGTCCAAAAAGAAAAAAAACAAAGTTACATGATAGAAGGAGCTTCTTATTGCCACCTAATACTATAAAAGAAACATATATCAAAGAAAGACAAAGCACCTTTATATTGCCTCAATGTCAAACATTAGCGACGACATCTAAGATCAAAAGTCCTAGATCATCCGATGAAACGTGTTCATCTTCAACAAAAAATGTTTGTTTCAATATCATACACGAAAAGAGTAACGCAACGCCAGTTGTACAACACACTTTGTTGCGCATACCCGATACGATTGACGAATCCGGTGTACTAAGTATTGCATGTTCGTCTCCCGCTTGCGCACCGAGAAACAAAAATGTCCAAAAGAAATTAAATTCCGATAAAGATTTTTGCATTACCGTTTGCGTTAGTCCAAAAATAACCAACAGCCTACAATTTTCTGAATCCAATGCAAACAAAGTAACAAAGGAAGGAATAACAAAAGAAACATATTTAGTTAACGAAATAGAGAAATTCGCACGTACTGTGAATAATCAAGAAGAAAATGCGCATTCGTCACGAATGATCAAAATGACAACCGACGGGTGCGTGCTTTCGCCGTGCAATAATAACGGACCTGACGAACTTGTAACTCTTCGTAAAACTGATCTTACAGCTCTAGAACTCAAGTTGGCAAGTCTCATCGGTAGACTGAAAGAAGATCTGTCGGAATTAACTGCATTTGCAAATACGATATCTAAGATAAATGCAGCGAGTGAACTAAATGACAAGGACGAAAAGAAGAAACGGGAAACAACTGAAAATTTAAATGCCATCATTGAGATACCCGAAAGAGATAATAATAATCTTGAAATGCAAGTCGGTCTTGAAATCAACAAGGAAAATGAAAATTCGAATAATATAAAATGCTCGGAAAACGATATCAAATTCAAAACGAGAAGACGTTCTGCACGTTTGATGGCAAAGTCTTTAAATAATTTGTGTAATTCTAATTCCAACGATAGTTTCGTTAATTTAGAAAATGAACTGAATATCACACATGCGAACTCTAACGTAAAGTATACACCTGTTAAAAATTGTAAGTATCCTGATGTTACCAAGTACAAAAAAATAAACGGAAAGCCTATGAAGGAATATCTGGCGTTGAAATCGCGCATGAGCTGTTTGTTGACACCGAAGACACCGAAATCATACAGTTCTTCTAATTTGGGACACATATGTCACGAAAACGGTAACGCAAAAGCAAGCATATCAAATAAATTGTTCTCAGAACTTAATAACTTATATGCGGATTCGCCAGATTCGGTGTAATTTTACATGTGTTTTATATTGTTACGGGCCGTGGGTCTCGTCATTTCTGATCAAACTAATCGGTCCATTACCATATCAACCATGATTAATCGGGTCTTCTAAACGACTAATGCAATTGTAGTCAATGAAATAATCGGCAAATTAAGTTAATCGGAGATAGTGAACTCTATAATTTATATAAATATATATACATATATATATATATATATATGTATGTATATATATACAGTCAAACCTCGATAACTCGAACCTCTATAAAACAATTATTTTATTCATTCCCTTCCGCTCCGCGGAAAGGAAAAAAAGCTTCGATAAAAGTCGAAATCTCTACAACTCGAAGATTTTAGCTCTTCCCTTGAGATTTGAGTTAGTGAGTTTATTCGAATGTATATATATACGTATATGTATATATAAATTATACACACATGTAATCTTATATCTTACGTATTATGTCATAAATTATTATATATTATAAGGAAAGAGTATAAAAAAAAGTAAGAAATTGTAATAAAAGTTGTAATAAAAATAAAGTTTTTAAATGCAAATTTGCTTTATTTGCTACATATAATTGTGCTGCGCTCAAAGACGGTACGTAAAAAAAGTGCAATCTCAAACATGTGCGTGTTACGTACACGCGTTAAAAACTTTATGTACAGTGGACAACAATGATTCGCGGAATTGGCGCGGACGGTTCGAGAGCAGGGAAGAATCGCTCGGGGATCTCTTTGCGATCTTTCCGCGGAATCATTGTCGCCCACTGCACCCGTATGCTCCGAAGTACGACGGAGTATTCCGAAGAATACTTTGTGTATAATAAGAGCATATAAATGACACAATCGCGCGTTCGCGCTTGTATTTCTGAGGCACATGCTCGTACCCGTTTGTGTCCCCGATTGTTGATTATGTCATGCGTTTGCTGCGCGATATAATGCGCGAGAGTGTGTACAGAACGAATCAACGGGGCGCACACTGTGATTCATCGACAGAGATACAAGAGTGTGTTATATTATGAGTGCTACTAACTGAGAGAAGAAGCAAGTATGGCGCGTCCTAAGCACAGAGCGGCCGCAGATGTATGCGCTGACTGCGGAGCACTCGGTGAGATCTTCTTTTTCTTATGTCTCAGACGGACCTGCTCTTGTGTCCTTTCGCAACACAATATTTGAAACGATTGTGATCGAGCGTTTTGTTCGAACTTTGTTATCTTAAATATTATATATTCCGCTTCTCTCTCTCTTCTCTCTCACATCCCCCGCACAATCTGCATCATTCTATATAAATAAACACATATGTGTTTATGTAATGGAATTTTAATAATTAGCGTTGATTTTATTGAGAGAATGTGACGGTGTGTTTTAGAACCGGGATGGACGTCGATAAACAGAGCTATTTTGTTATGCGACGATTGTTGCGGTATTCATCGCAGTTTAGGACGTCATGTGTCGCATGTCAAGTCCTTGCATAAAGGTGTTTGGAATGCGCAACTACTGAACGTTAGTAATCACAGTGTGTGCCAAAGTATAAATGAGAAAGCAATGATTTCTTTACCGTATGCTTACTGCTCGAGAAATAACACTCTAATAATAATATTCTAGATGGTGCATATGCTGAATGACAACGGAGCTAACAGTATTTGGGAACATTCCCTATTAGATCCTAGCAATTCCAAAATAAATAGAAGAAAGCCACAAGCTAAGGATCCTTTACAGTTAGTAAATTTTGCTTCAGTACATTGAATATTATTGTTCAAGCATTGTCTTTTCACTACAGAGTCTGAGATTTCTGATTACAAAATATTCTGTTAAAAAAACCTCATAAAAAAGTACTTTAGCTTCTCTTGTGTTCTCTTTTGTATGTGATGAAAATTTTCATTTTCCATATTGTAGTCCTGTAAAAGCAGATTTCATTAAAGCAAAACATCAACATCTGGCCTTTATATTGCGGCCAAGCAAGGAAGAATGTTGTACTGAAGAAGAACTCAGTAGACAATTGCACAGTAGTGTTCGTACAAGCAATTTAGAAACTTCATTGAGGCTATTAGCACAGGGAGCTAATCCCAATTACTTTTATAAGGTATGTTTCAATACATCGCAAACATTTGTTTGTTTGTTTTTTTTTTTAAATTAATAATACAAAATCTGTATGTATGTAGGAGAAAGGAACCACACCTTTACACGTTGCAGCTCGAGCTGGACAAGCTCTCCAAGTAGAACTTTTAATAGCTAATGGCGCAAATCCAAGTGTGGTTGATTCAAGTGGTCAGATAGCTGCTGATATTGCCAAGTAAGTAACAGTGAAATTTAATATAGAATTATATACAGAAATTAATTGTATAATAAAATATGTCACTTTTATCATTGCAGAATGGCAGGACATATCGACTTATCTGAACGCATAATTGAATGTATGTACGAAGTAACAGATAGACTGACATATCATGTATGTTCCCGTAAGCCGAGCCATCAGGGTGATGAACATCTCCTCATTTCACATCTTGCCAGTTTAGAGAAAAATGATTTAGCTTTGGAAGGAAAAAGCAGATTACAGATGGTATGTTACGGTTTATTTACTTGATTTATTTTTGCTCAATGTTTTTTGTAACATAATGATGTTTTTGTTCTTTATTTTTGTGCAGTTACCAAATCATTTGCTAGAGGAATTAGCTATGGATGTTTATGACGAGGTAGATCGTCGGGAAACAGAAGCAAGTGAGTATTAGTTTTGTAGTACATTAATGTTTTTTTTATATATAAAAGATCGAGATAGAATACCTTGTGTAATTTAGAAAAAGAAAAAGAGATAAACACACAAATGTGTCTTATACAATATATTTTGTATATTAATTAAATCTATTAATGATAAACTATATATTTTTGTCATGCTATTCCTGGAAGGGTGAGTAAAGAATTGCACATAATGTGTTTAAATTTATTCTTAATAATACAATCTAGTCCAATTTGTGTAATTACTATGACAAAATATGCATAATAAAATTTTTATGTGTAAGCAAAAATTAATATCTCATGTTTTACAAATAGTTTGGTTTACAACCGCATCTTTGCCTGAGAAGTGCACCGTTCCTTTTCTGCCAGTTAATCCGCAGTTGTCGTCTACTCGAAACCAAGGACGGCAAAAACTAGCAAGATTCACGCAGAAAGAATTCACCACCCTTATCGTAGATTTGTTGGTTGAGGCAGGACGGAGACATACGCTCGCTAGCAACGCGCTTAAAAGTATATTGATATTAAATTTAATAATAAAAACGCGCGCACATGTATTATTTTATAAAATTATTGAGTAGTATCAATTGTTGCGGTAATTTTAGATCCCGCGGTGTCTATGCTACGCAAAGAGCAACTCGGTAAACACGGATCTCAAGTGTCCGACGACGAACCTTTGTACGACAGTGTTGCATCCGACGATGATTATGCCGCTTTGACATCCACAGATAATACTGTGTCCGATGTTTCGAATCAACTTAAAGCTAACAAGGAGGTAATTCTCAATTTCAAAACTTGAAACTATTTTGATTCTTCAAGTACAAATATATATACATTAGCAAACGCATAGTAATATTTTTCAAGTGTAAAATAAACCCCGAGCATCTCTGTTGCACAGAAATAGAGATATTTTATCTAACATAGAGAGAAATTATACATGTATACATACATGATACCTTTGTGTGTGCGAGTATATTAGTTCCGCAAACTGCTTATCTGTTTTTTAAACAATCTTGAGAGATTATAAAAGGAAAACTTATAATTTTTACAAAGTTACACCATTAGAGTAATATTTATCTTTCTATGATAAAATATTAAAGGTACCGGCACTAATAACAAAAAGAGGAATAAGGAATTGGCTGAGCACGTGGCTTTTCTGTAGGCAGTGTTATTAGGCAAGTGCACAGGTCTGTTTGTGCATGCGCGACTATTGCCAAAATCGTTAAAAAAATTTTTTACTCATTAAAACAAAAATATATTAATTAGCCATTTGATTCATGTGGTGAACTCGCAGTCCACTAAACACGACTCTTACGAGTATTCATAACAACTCGCAGTAATAATACATATATCAGAACATAACAGTTCTTTTTTTTTTTGTGTGATCATTATAACACGCTCTTTACACTTCTTGTGTGCGATGTTGGTTTCAAACAAAGATTGTTATTGAGTTGTTGTTGTTTCAGGAAACGTTTGCGCCAATGGCTAAGGGTCTCCCGTCTATGGTGGAAGTTTTGAAGAAACAACTGACTCTGTCGGAATCGAACGTGCGAGATCTTCGCGAGCAGATACACACTTTACAGAATACCGTCGAGCAACTTACCCGAGAGAACAGCGAACTGAAACACATGCTACAAGTAATTGATTTTTTTTTTTTTTATAGAGCACAATGTACACACTAAAAATTAACGATGTTGATGTGTAGTTGAAAGGTTCTGGCGATAGCAATATAAATGGACATGCTGGTGGAGAACAGGAACCTGAGTTAGAACCGGTGCACGATATCAAAACGTCCAGTACACGCGGAAATCAACGACCGGCATCCATGTACGAGACAAGAGAAGGCTTGCGAAAACCAGCACCGTGGTCAACAAACATTTGCCAAGTAATTTGTTTTTGTCCGAGTAACGCCAGCGATCGAATCGAATGTCATTGCATCTGCTCATTGTATTATTTTCATGTAGACAAAACGCGACACGGACGCGTTATCGCGAAATAACACGCAAAGCTTGTGGGAATGCGGTGCTCTTAATTTGCCACCCAGCGAGGAGGTGAATCGACGAACGGAACAAGTTACCAGGCGAATTCAAGAGCTGTGGATGGCTATGCAGGATCCGAGTCAGCGAGAAGCTTTTGTTCCTTGTGCCGAAAGGATACGTGTCGCTGTCGCTGAGTTAACCGCTATATTTCCTCAGGTAAATCTTATGACTTTTTCTCGAACAATTTTAATTTGTCCGAAAGTTACAAAAACAAAAAAAAAAAAATAGATAAATGTTTATTAAATTTAATTGTTACGTCGAGATAGAATCCAATAGAAGAGAATATTAGATCTGCGTTGCGTCAGTTGAACGGCAACACCGGGAGACTTCAGGCAGAATGTTCCGGTCTTCAAAGGTGCACCAGCGATGCCGAGCACATGGATCGTTGCCTGCAGCAAGTACGCTCATGCGCTTACGATATTGCCAAAGCAACCAAGCTACTCGTTACGCAATTTCAAATGTAAGCTCTCTTTCTTTCTCTCGTTTTATCGCGAAAGTATCAAGAGCTTAAGATTATTTTTGTACATTTTCAAGGAATTGTAAATATTTTTGTACAGCGCCGCAATTTCTGGACGAGGAATGTTTTCTTCCTCTCGAGGTTTTAATCACAATGTTATTGCACTTATTTTGCATATTCATTTCTTGCAATAATAACGTTCGTTCTCTTGTCTTCTCTTGTTTAAAAAACATTTGATATAAATATAGAGGACAGTCTTACTTTTTTTTTTCTTTTTTTTTCTCTTTTTTTTTTTTTTTTACAATTGTTACAATTATTAAATTATTTAATTGCCAAGAGAGTTGGTGAATCTATACTCTATTACTAACAAATGTGTGTGTAAGCCACATGACATCGTTTAGCATATAATTTTATATTACATATTATCGTTTTTTTAGTATCTGTGACAAAGACTGAATAGCGACAAACCAATGAGTTCTATTATACATATATATGGCAACTTAAGTTCTTGTTTAATGAATATAAATCTCATTTAAGCAAATTTTTTACTGATAAAAGACTCATCGTAAAGTATGTTAAATAATTGTTATAAAAATAGAACACGTTAAAAAAAAGAATATAATATTAGTACTTCTACGATCTGTTGCATATTCTTCATGTAATTAATAAGAATGTAAAATTTGTCTATAACTGATGGTTTGAAAATTTTATTGTTGTGTTATCATCAGGAGATTTAAATCTATATATGTATATATATATATATATATACATACATATAAATTATTATTATATATATATATATATATATAAAAAAATATATATATATATATTTTTTTTGTTTTTTTGTTTTTTTAACAAATTTATATTTTGCATACATTAGCGTGACATAATGCTTTTTGCTGAAAATTAGCCGATATCACAATAACATAATCTGAATTTATTGTTTTATATCAGTTTATTGTATGACTATTGGTCTCATTATATCCAATTGATTTGTAAATTGTTTATTTGTTTCACATTTCTGATGTTCCATATCGGTCTTTCAGCTTTTGTTGATTACATCATTAATGTGAAGACAATCTGTGCAATATTTGTGCAACTCGCAATAATCAATTATAGACAAATACAAAATTTATTGAGTTTTAGTTAAACAAAATATTTGCTATAAACGAACAAACAAAATATTGTTTTACCTGTTTTTACTCGGTTTTTGTACGTGTGCTTTCCAGCTGCGTACATAGGCAACACTGTGTTAGACACAGCGTCGCCTGTGTACGTAGCTGGAAAGCACCTGATGTGTATAATAATTTATAAATGATATAATGAGGCAATATTATATAAGTATGTATCTGAGTATTTTAAGTATCGACGTACATGTGCAGATGAGACCGCATAATAATAGTAATAATAAAAGGAACACTAATGTGTGACGACTCCGTGCAAAAACGCATCTGTTATTAGAAACTTATTATATTTGTATATAAAATATAAAAATAGCTATATATATATATATATTTGGCCACGATATTTATGTGTGTGAGAAGATTCACACACACACACAAAATATATATTTGTAGGACGTTTTGTACATACTTTTTAAGCATATCTGGCCAGTTTTTTCTTCTTGAGTGGAAAATAAAAATATTATATTTCACTCGAAGTTACACACACATAATTGACTTTTTATTTAACGCTCTTGCTGAATATTCAATCGTTTGTAATTCAAATGAATTTTAAAGATGTTTTGCCGCACCATGTTGCCACTCCTGTATTCAAAATAAACTAGTTACACAATGGCCGGAGCTCGGCAGACCAATTGCTAAAGTTGTCGTCTCCTTCGACGCTCGATTTGTTGATTTTAAAAGTAAAAGCAGACCCCTCCCCAGTGATTTGTTAGCAATTGAACCAATCGCGTTCGATAGCTGCAAGCATCGGTTTGGCTGATAGCAGCCACATTTGATGATCGTTGGAAAAAGAGATTCGCCTCCGCGAATCCGTTTCCGAACGGGGTGTGCGGAACTCATGAGAATCGAGCCGCACCCCGAGGAGTCGATTCGAAAATGTCAGCGACCAATGAAACGTCATTCGCGTTGCGAATACACGGCGAGGGAACGGACGCCTAGTGAGTTTCGGCAACAGGGACAGACTCGACACTTCAAAGGAGGGTTTTCGCGCTACCTGTTACGAAAACTCGACGGGTGATACAAAAACACGTGTCTTTCGGTGTCTTAAGGATTGGATAGTACCGTTTGTTCGCGGGCTGTTTCGTCGCGCGCTCTCGGTGGTCAAGTTTTGGTCAAGGACGGAGGATATCTCCGAGGCTGGGGTGTCCCGCGGTGGCGGATTGTCGGGAATTCGACGGGCAACGTGAGGAAGGCGCGTCGTATCGCCGCTCGCTTGTGCGACGCGTGAAAGCAAGAGCGGAGCCCCGTGAGCGGCGTGGCGCGGGGCGGCCATTTTATATTTAGTATGACGTAGCTGGGTGTAGCATAGCATTCTTATTGCTGTGGATTACGCGAAGAAAAAGACTAGGTAACGATCTCTGACGGGCTGGGTAAGTAAAACCTGGTGTGGCTGGTGGTGTGCGAGCGGTCAGTCAAATGAACGGAAGCGTTGCGACGCGAGGTGATGTGTGAATTTTCAGTGCGTGCGTGTTCCCGCGAATAGGACTCGTGAGAGGAGGCCAACGCGCGGAAGCTAGCAGCGCTCGGCAGCCTCGGTGAGCAGACGAGGCGTTCTGGGAGCGAACAGCGCGAGCGAACGAAAAAGCGAGCGTGAAAAAACGGAAACGAAACGACGGAAAGAAAAACTTTCCCTTTTTTGAGACCAGGCCGGCTAATACCACACAAAGTGAGAATATATTGCTTTTGGTCGCGACGGTGTGTCTGTAGCATCGCGCGAACATGAGCGAGGAAAGCAATCCACGTACGCTGTACGTGGGCAATCTAGACGTTATGGTGACCGAGGAACTGTTGTGCACGCTTTTCTCGCAAATAGGCGCCGTTAAGGGTTGCAAAATTATTCGCGAGCCGGGTAACGACCCTTACGCATTCGTCGAGTTCACGAATCATCAATGCGCGGCCACGGCATTGGCCGCCATGAACAAGCGGTTATTCTTTGAGAAGGAAATGAAGGTTAACTGGGCGACCAGTCCGGGCAATCAGCCGAAACTCGACACTAGCAATCACCATCATATATTTGTCGGCGATCTGTCGCCAGAAATTGAGACACAGACCCTCAAAGAGGCGTTTGCACCTTTCGGCGAGATCAGCAACTGCAGGATCGTGCGCGACCCGCAGACGCTCAAGAGCAAAGGCTACGCTTTTGTGTCATTTGTTAAGAAATCCGAGGCCGAGGCGGCTATCACAGCAATGAACGGCCAGTGGCTTGGTTCACGCAGCATCAGAACAAACTGGTCAACCCGAAAACCACCGCCACCGAGGTCCGAGAGACCCAGACACTCGAACAATAGTAAACCTAATTACGAAGAGGTACTTAACCAGACAGACACTGTGTACTTTCTAAATAGTTAGTCTTTGGCGAGTTGGACTTTGCGATAGATAGTTAGCTCCTGCTAACTAATTCCTTGTAAAACCAGCTTGTTAATAATGTGCACAAATAAGATGAGACATGTAGCAATATTCAAAATTCTGTTATATAGTTAATTTTTTCATTCTCACCAATAAGATTTATTCCTATAGATGCCAAAATCTGCATAGTCATAAATTTGAAGTAAAAAACCACTTAGTAGCAATAGATGTGAATATTGTAAACATTGCATAAAATATGAAAAAAAAAGAAAAGAAATTGGATTGATAGTGTCTAGATTCGTGCTAAAAATTGTATACAATAATTTAAAAAAAATTTTATATTGTTTTCAACAGGTATATAACCAAAGTAGTCCAACTAATTGCACTGTATATTGTGGAGGTTTTACAAATGGAATCACAGATGAATTAATAAAAAAGACATTTTCCCCTTTTGGCACCATTCAAGATATAAGAGTGTTCAAAGATAAAGGATATGCTTTTATTAAGTTCACAACCAAGGAAGCTGCGACGCATGCTATTGAGTCTACACACAATACAGAGATCAATGGTAGTGTTGTCAAGTGTTTTTGGGGCAAAGAAAATGGTGATCCAAACAGCGTGGGTCCTAATGCAAATCATCAAGCTCAACAGGTTATTTATTTCATTTATATTTACAAGCAAATACATTTATTTAATATTTGTTGTATGTATTTTATTATGCGTATAACAAATTAGTTGTAAATTATTTAACAAATTTATTTTTCATATATTTTAAAAATATATTTTTCTGCACATATATACTAAAATTTATATTACAAATGGTACATATTGAAATGTGTTTTTTTTTTTTTCATATTTGTATTAATTAAAATTCAACTAGTTTAATGTGCAATATTCATTGCGTGTATAACAGCAATTTTGACGGACAAAATATGTTAACTTATTTTGCAACAGGTAACAGCAGGAGCGGGACAGTATGCGTACGGATATGGCCAACAGATGGGTTACTGGTATCCACAGGGCTATCCTCAAATGCAGGGACAGTTTTTGCAGCCTGCTCAATATTATAGTCAATATTATGGACAGCAGGCACAGTATATGAACAGCATGAGGATGCCTACTCCGGGCGCGGGGGCCTGGCAACCGCCACAAGCCACTGCAGCACCACCGACAGTGAGTGCACCCTTGCCACCAGGACAACAACCAACTATGGTGACATACACAATGCCACATCAATACCCCACGCAATGAAATAAGATATTGGCTGGATAATTGTTACATGCGATAGTGTTTGCTCGGGGTAATCGCAAAAAATCGTTCTGTCATATACCTAATCCAAGAAGATTTAAGTTTTCCGTAATAGTATGTAAGATAATCGATTTAATGACTCTCGCACGAAAAACACATTAACATGTAACGTGTGGCTACTTTGCTTCTTGTCGCGTGCCGACACGCATGCTGGTGTATGTGCGAAAGCCATACTTTCACTTAAAACAAACGTAACAATAAAGAAATAATATGTCGACTTAAACAAATCGTTTATGCGTTATAGATTTGTTTCAAGTCCACAAAAAAAAAAAAAAAAATGTTACTTGTTTATTTTACTTACATATTCATTAAAAAGTATATAAGATTCTTTACATTGTGAGATATATTAATTTTTTTCTCTCAAATTCCTAAAAATGCGACGTTATAGCGCGGGAAGTTGGCACGGTTGCGATGCAAATAACGTAATTTGATGCAAAGTTTTTCTATGCTTTCCGCGCTTGCATATCGCGATGTGTTGAATTGGGTATATCTCCGAACTCTTCCTTGCGAGAGCCCTGAAAACTCAACCTCGGGCCCCGCACTCGTTGCGCTACGCAAGTGACGTACGTGGCAATTGCGTTGTTGATAACATTTTATTAAATATTTTTGCCACTAAAATCCGAAAGACACTTCATCCGATCATTGATGAACAAATACGACAAATGTTCATTTGAGTAGCAAAACTACTAAAACTAATTGAACATAGTTAGTAATATAAGATAGAAAAACGATTAGGTAGACATGGCGCCTGTGATGTAGCTAGACTTTTGGTGCGTTTACGCCAAGGCGTGCGGGGCTCTTTATAAACATGTAAACTATAAGACAGTCGAGTTACAACTTTTCTCGTTATGTGATATTTATCGTCGGTGGTTAAAAAAATGTGTAAAAATTTGCTACGATTATATTTGAAAGAGAATAAAAAAGAGAAAGGAAGAGAGAAAGAGAGTTTTTTAATGCGAGCTCAACATTTATTAATTACTACGATGCTGTGTATTAATGGCGCGTTGAGTTTTCTGTGAGTCTCGTTGCTCCGTTTGTGACTTCACTGTGTTTCAACAGTTACTCTCATGATACAATAAAAGATCCGTGATATACATATTATATCTTTATTATCATTACGAGAGATCTCTATTACGATGTTTACACGTGACAAAAACCGACTATGAGTACAGTGAGAGTTGCGAGAAGATCAATCGGTCATTAACACACCACGTCACATAATAGGAGGCTCTCCTACTGTAAATATTAGCGATATCCCGGTTTATGTATAGGCGACCTAGACTGAAGGAAATTTATCACACAGCACTATATACGTTTGTCATGTCATTATGTTTAACAATAATAATAATAAAAAACAAAAAAACAACGTACTTCCATTGGGATGTTTCTCAACAAAAGATGCGAATTAATCAATATACATCGATCTCTCGTTCGGGCACACACGAGCTTTCGAAAAAAAAAAACATTTGAAACATTTACACGTACACGTGCGTTCACACATTTTGTGCTTCGCGAATATATAACGCGGTAATTGGTAATTGCTGTCTTTTTTGAAATGCGATCGAACGGTTCGTCGAGTGACAATCACAGTGGTGATATACATAATAATATCAATGTGTTTCCGAATTGTCGTAGTCTGTATCTACATGACACGATCAGATTCCATCGTGTCTTCCAAGTAAACGCGAGTTTGCGGCACAATTACTGATGGTTTATTTTTCGGCTGATTGCTTTAGGACTCTCGTTAGTATGTCGATTAAAGAAAATTTGGATGTACACGCCGAGTCACACATACGTCACATCATCTGTTCATTTTTCTTTCTTTCTTTTGCCCGTTTGTGTTAATTGAAATAACGAGAAATTTTGAGCGTTTGTGTAGCCGTTTAAAAGATTTGCCGATAATTTTTATGTAACTCGCGAGACATTTAAGTAGTTTATACGAGTAATTAATGCCTAAAACGTGCGCGAGCCCAATTGTAATTGTTCTTTTTCACGAGACACATCTACAGTTTCATCGAACCTAGATCTGTGCGAGTGATTATGTTCATTGTGTTGTTTGTTTTTGAGTGCGGTTGTCACGTTTATTTACAGTTTCAGCGAAAACGATGGATGATAAGATATATATATATATATATATATATA